TGTGGCCACGTGAGGCAGCAGGGAGGCTATTAGGATCCCAGCTCCTCTGTCCCCTGGTTGTCACAGCTTCGGTGGAGATGATGGCGCTCCCAGCCCCCTTCTCTCCCTGGGAGGAAGACCGCCCCCCGATCCGCTGGCCAATGCTGATTGGCCTGGAGGCAGACACGTGACACCAGCTGGCCAATCAGCTGTGCTCCCCAAGACTGCGGCTCCACGTCGGGGGCGGGAATTTGCGTCACCTTGGGCTTCGAAGACGCAGATCTCGGCTCCATCAGCCTCCCGTCTTTTCTCAGGCGTCCCTGGATGTCTGCTGTTCACACGGGAAAAGCTTTGATGCTGGGCGCTTTCTGGTGTCACCTCATTCCGTCTGGCCAGGTGGGCTGGGCCTTGCCAGAGGTGTTGGGACCGGTGAGGACAGGACTGGGGGGCCAGGACTCACAGCCTGGACCAGCTCACCTCGGCGCAGCTCATCTGTGGAACGGTAATGACACTCGACCCAGCTAATTCATTGGGAGAAGCAAAGGACATCACCTGGGCGTTGGTGATAGGGTCCCCTGAATTGTTGATTAACCGCTGTTCTGTACAGATGAGAACTCTGAGGGCCAGGGTAAAGAATCCTATTATGTGATTAGTCTTCCTTAACTTTTCTCTTGTGAATTAAAAAAAATATGTTTTTTTTGGCAAAAAAAAAAAAAGTATCCCTTTGTGACTGTTTTCTGCAACAATTCTGGTAAATTCTGGCAAATTTCAGACTCAAGATTATTTGGCTTAAATATTGTTCTCTATAAGAAATAGTTCTGGTAAGGGAAATACAGAGGCATAAATTAACAATTTTAAAAAATATTTTATTTTTAAGTAATCTCTGCACCCAACCTGGGGCCTGAACTAACAACCCCAAAATCAAAAGTTGCATGCCCTACTGACTGAGCCAGCCAGGTGCCGCCCCCCCCCGCAAAGTTTAAGGTTTTAAGAATTTAGATGGTAAGGCCAGGGCAGGAGATGCTGAGTGCAGTGGGGGTATGACCCTGGTCAAGAGTCAGAAGTCTGGGTGCAGTGCTACCCTCGTGTGGTTCTGAGTCTCTCTGCCTCTAGGCTTTAATCTTCATAGCCTAAATGAGGAGTGGTGGCTAATGTCCCTTCCAGCTTTAAAATTCTGTTCCATGCAAAGCCACTGGGGAGCCCAAAGACTGTATGGGACTTAGGCCCAACTGACGACGTCACAATCCAACTACTTTGCCAAGGTTTGGCTTGGCCTCCTTGCCCGGAGCTTCTTGGGTTTTAACATCGACCGATGTCTCCATAGCTTTTGGGGCCTGGGGCTTTTAACGACCTTAAGGACAACAACATAATGTAACTACTCATGCCCAAGAATGTGTTCAGGCCCCAGCATCTTCACTACCCTTTAGTCTTGGTAGGATCTCACAGGGCCGGATTTTTCTTGGAAATAACATCAACATTTTTTTCACATCAAATTATTTAACAATGTTAACACTGGCTTTTTGCAGAAAATTTTTGAGTAATGAGAATGTGTGGGAATGGATATTTTGGGTTCCTTGAATTTCCTAAGAAACCACTGGAAATTAAGGTCACTCATCGGATGAGATGTTTTGAGTGTCTGCTGTAGTCAAGTCCCTGTGTGCCTTGGCCTGTGTGTGCATGCGTGACGAAAAGGCCCAGCTGCTGGGAGGCCCCTCTGCTGGGGTGGGCCCCACACGACGACCATTGCACTGTCAGGAAACCCTGATGGCTGAGGCTGCCTATGGGCTAAGCTCAGGACTCACCTGGAGTTTTCTTTAAAGATGAGAATCCAGATGTGCAGCTCGTTTTCTGACACCTGCCCCCTGAATGGTTGGCATGAAGAACAGAACTTCTAGAGACAGATGTAGCAAGAGTTTGATCCAGGCCCCCCGTTAGCTAGTTCCGCATTTACCTTGTGAAGTTGCCAAGTGTCAGTTCCCACAGCTATAAAATGGAATCTAACCTCCGTACAGGGTTGTGGAGAGCATGAGAAATCAAGGTGTTAGAGCATTTTGCAGTGTCCTGTGCAGAGCAGCTCTTGAGTTCCTGCTAGTTCCGGCACTAGTTACTTAAAGGTAGATACATTCAGAAGAAATCTGAGTTGAGACCCAATTTAAGTTGTACCAACAATTTTAATTACAAGTGCTTTAAATTTGGGGGGATAGCTTCTAGCCTTTTCTCCCAAATATTAAATAAGCTACTCTAAACTTAACCTCTTTGTGCCTGCTTGCTCATCTGTGCAGTGGGGATGATAACAGTACTTTGTAAAGATTAAGTGGATCTATAGGTAAATCTTGAGAACAGAAACAGAACATGGCGCATTGTAAGGGTATATAAGTTTTAACTATTGTGATGGGTACCACATAAATACTCTTAATTGCAGACAAGTCATAGTTCTCATCCAGAGCCAGGAAAGCCTCTGGACAGGGCTGGAGACATGGGCTTGAGACACAGGGCTGTCCTTGCCTCCCAAGGTCGCCCTGGGAAAGTCCTAGGTTCTCAGGGGAGACTGGTTCCCCCTCTGCAGATGGGTATTATCCCTGTTCTTTTCCCCTCCCCCCCTACCTTTGTAGAAATACACTCCCAAGACACCAGTAGTCAACAAATGTTTGCTCACAGCCTAACTGTTTTGGGGAAAGAGAACCTCAAATTCAGAGTGAGCTGGGGACTCATTCAGGGGCCCAGAAGCACTGGGAGTGGCATGGCAGGTGGGAAGACCTACCCTGTCCAGCTATTTCAGAGACCTTAAGTCCTGTCTCTCCCTCCATGCTGCCTCCAGCATCCTGGTGGGTCTTCTCCGAGAGCTGCCAACCTGGAGCAAACAGCAGAGGCTAGGAGGGAGTGCGCGGGTGGTGGTCTTTGCCTCTGGCATCTGAGCATGAGCCGTGCTGATGCCACAGGCTGGCTTGGGCTCATCACCTGACCCAGAGCCCAGTGAGGTGGGGATGAGAGGGATGTGGGCTCTCCTCCCTCACCCCACCTAGCCTCTGTTCCAACTAATTAAGCTTCAGTTTTGGTTTGTCCAGTTTGGACACTAAAGGGACCCACCACGGGCTGGGTACCAACCTAGCCACCCTCGGAGCAGAGGCTTTGGGGGCATTATGGAGGAGGAGAGAGGACTGGCTGCAGGTAGGGAGGAAGGTGGGTGCAGGAGTAGGCCCTTTTCCATGTGCAAAGTGGCTGCAGATGAGCCTGGCTTGGGTCTGAGTGAGGTCCAGGGTGCACAGGCAGCCTGAGCTTAGAGGGTGAGCAGCCCCTTGTTTTCCCTGCCCTTCTGCTTCTCTTCAGCTCACTCATCTGAGTTCAGACAACTCCAGCGGTCACCAGCATCGCCAGTAACTTCTCAGATGTAGGACTAAGAGCGAAGAATTCTTAGCCCAGTCTCAATTTCTGTGAGCACCGGATCTTTGTCTGCAGCCTGGATGATAAACTACTTAACGCAGAGGACCCTTAAGGAGATAAAAGGAGAGAACAGAACTCGTTCTGCTACAGCACTCCATCCAGATGGCACCTTATCACCTTGGGCTGCAACAATCGGCTCAAACGAACGTCTCCTCCCATCTTGTGCCCATGGGCACCTGCCAGGTTGTACCATCTGACACGTGGCAGGCTATCACCAAGTTAAACAAAACTGACCCATGGGCCAGATCTGGTCGACAGGTGTAGTGTTTTGTGGTTTGTTTTTTTTTTCCCTGCAGAGTATGTAAAGGATTTTTTGATTTGTTGTTGAAATCAGGACATCTGTACACAAATCTGGACTCCCCATCTTCTCTGGAAAATTATGAAGATGGGGCTCTAGGGCCCACATTGCTCCCACTTGGTGGCAATCTGCAGACAATTCTCTCCACTCTACCTGCCCCCACGCCCCGCCCCCCCCACTCGCCCACCTGAGCCGCTTCCCCTTCACTGAGCGATTTTACCTACTGGGCCCTGCAGCAGCTGCCGGTGGTGACTCAGGCAGTAATGGAAGCAAAGGTCTTCGTGAGCCCCACCAAAGAAAGTTTTCAACACATGCTTGTTGAAAAGGCAGCAGCTGGGTCTTGCCAGGCAAACAGAATGTACTGTAGAGTGAGGTACCTCCAGAGAGAGGCTGGCCCCATAAGGAGGTACTTTAGAGAACCCAGCTGTTCCTGGGTGGCCAGTGGCAGTGATGTTCGGTTGGTTTGGCTGCGATCGATCCTCTTTTTCGGCGCACCCTCTAGTGAAAATAGGCAATAGTGTGCCATCTGTTCAAAAAAGGGGAGAGGGGCGCTAGCTTTACGAGCCACTGTCAGTCATCGAGGAGAACACCTCTGGTCTCCTTTACTCAACGATTTTAATCACTATCACCAGGAAACCGACCCAGGCATCCAATAACAAAGGGGTGGAGGGCTTCGTTCGAGGCTGAGGCACAGAGCGGGCACAAACACAGAGGTGCCAAACCACTGGCGGGGGGGTGGTGACGAAGGGCCTACAGCTGGGGGTGTGGCAGGAGGTACAGCTGGAAAGATGGCAGTTGTCGCATGAAAGCAATGAGCCAGAGTGAGGACTGGAGGAAAAATTAATGGCTTGAGGCCTCTGCTTCAGGGAGGATAATCCACTGCGACAGTGAACAACACTCCTGTGCAGGGAACCCCCGATGGACAGGCGCCATCGCCCAGCCTGAGTTTTAATGTGGAATGCAATTAACCCCTAAAGAAAGAACTCCAGAGTACAGTTTTCAAACCATCTTTAGAACTTTTCAAGTTAGATTCCAGCCCCCCACCTGGCCCTGCACCCTCAGGACAGCCGTTTATAAAATGAATTCAGTGGCGCTGCTCCCGAGGTGGGCGCTGGCCAGGAGGCCCTGCCCCTGCCCTCGCTCCTTCCAGGGCTCCGCAACATCACGGAGCACCATTCAAAGACCACCGAGCTTGAGTACGAGCACCTTTCACAAAGCAGAACAAGCCACCCCAAAGGAGTTCCAAGGGGCCAAGGGCTCCTACAGAGATGAACAGTCCCACTTCCTGTTGCCACATTTTAAACTATTTATTGAATGAGGCAGTAATAGACAGAATGGAAAACAACACAGAATCCATGCTCTGCTACTTGGGTTTTGCTTTTCTTCTTCTTCTTCTTCTTCTTCTTTTCTCAAACTATTAGGAGGTTATTTCACCACAAAGGAACACGGACTTGAAAGCCCCTGAACAGCTTCACAATGACGATAAAAAATAATAATTAAAAAAATAACAAGTTGTAGAACTAGGACTGTTTATATGTAAATTTCCCTTCCCTCCCCCTATTACGTACAGAAAAAAACATACAAAGAACATTAGATAGTTTTATATAAAACAAGCAAATACAAGAATCTGAAACTTTTCTCAAAGGCTGAGCAAGATGTGAAGGATCTTTTAATGTCGCATTAAAAAAAACACATTAAATACACTATCACACATGGGGGCCCGGGAGGAGGGAGGAAGAGTTGTCCCTGTACTCAAGGAGCAGAGATTTGGCCTGTCGAGAAGTCAGGTGAATTTAGCCACTGGAGACTCAGGGCTTGCAGCTGAGAAATCACAGAATTTAAAAGTTACCGAGAACACCCAGACCGGTCAACACCTGTGAGGAGGCGGCTGTGGGGCCTGTGCCACCGGGCCGCACCTGGGAAAACTGCACTGTCCCTTCTGAGACAGGGCCTGCCCCAGGGCTGCTGGAAACACCCAGGTCCCTTTCTCTTCCAAGGCCCCTCAGCATGAAGAGCAACCTTCCTCGAGCCGGGTGCTCCTGTCACTTACAGTCTCCTCTTTTAAGCTACAGAAAGTTACTGGAAAGGAAAATATTGCTCCCGTTGGTGTGCCCTGGTCTTTGAAGATTTTTCTCTCCCTCCTTCCTTTCCCCTTCCAATCCCTCCCCTCCCCGTCCCACTCTCTCCCCTCCAAGCACACGCCCACAAGCACACTTAATGCGCACGCGCTCCTCAAACCCTTAATACTTGTTACCTTCAGTTCATATACATGACCAATTCAGAACTGACCTTAAAACCAAAGCAACGTTTTAATAGTCATGAGATCAAGAAGGCTTCCTGGGAAGGGGAGGAGATGGGAGGCTGAAGAAATCCCTCTTGTCCCTGCCTGGAGCTTTAAGGACATTCACCTGCCTGGGGCAAGGTCAGCACCTGGGCCAGCCCGAGGAGCATCTCAGCTGCCAGACCATGAGGCCCTTGGACCTTGCAAACACAATTTCTGGACCCCACCTCGTTCTGGAACCTCCTTCCTCAGGTGAGTCCAGCAGGGAGAGTTCTGGGTGGCCACTGGGAGGCAGCTTTGGTGAAGGGCATGGTCACCTCCGCCTGAGTTTGTCAGTAGCTCAACGCATGACCCTGGTATGAACAAAAACCGGGTGACTGTGTCTGGCCACGTACCCTACACCCACTAAACTGGGTGAATTATTTTTTTCCACAGCTCACCTTGATTTCATACAGATAATTCCATGCGGGTTTCATATATATATATATATATATATATATATATATATATACATATACACATACATACATACATATATATACTTTATATATATGTAAATGTGTATATCCATATGTACACATATACATATATTCACACTCACACATACACACACATAAGTATACACACATGTTTCTGCAGAAAGAAGTCCTGCCACAATTTGGCTTTTTCGGGACAGTGAAATTGACAACAGTATCTTATTCCACCAATCCCAGAAAATCAAGAGTGGTGCTTTAAAAAATGCAATTCCAAAACCCACTGCCTTTCTTCCTTTTTAAAAAAAAGGTTAACAAAACTTTTCTTCCAAAGTCGAGAGACTTAATTCCATTTGATTGCACCTCTGCAAACGTGTAAAAAATTCTGAAGTAGACTAGAAAACGATGCCATCGTACGGCTGCATGTCACTGTTCCAACGTCACCACCTCCACAGCCTGGCCGTCCATGGTGACTGTGCTGTCCGATATCCGGGTGGTCACAGGGGCCATGGCCACCTGCACTGGCCCGTTGCCCTGGGCGAGGCTGGTTACCACAGTCTGGTACATGCTCACGGGGATCTGGACCAATCCTGGGGAGACAAAGGGGAGACTGTTGGTGGGGGTCGGGCTCAGCCTCCCAGATGCTGGCTGGACAGAGCAACCCGCCCCAGCCCTTCAGGGCACCACTGTCAGCCTCATGTAATTGCCCACCGACTGTCCAGGCACAAATACATCCCTCCGCTTACCCACTGTCATTCTATAAAACAGACTATCAGGAAAGAAAGTTCGAAGAAACTGTGGAAATGGGCCCCAGGGCAGGGCCTCCCCAACTTGCCAGGAGATGAGCCTGCCTGCTTCTAATTTTAGAAGCAGGGCTGGTGAGGTGTGAACCCTCCTCCCCAGCCCAGCGCTCCTGACGGCCTCCTTCCACTGGGAAAGGCGGCCATTAATTTTCTTTGATGTTCTGCTACCGACTTCTTCAATTGTCTGCCTGCCCATGCTGTTTCCCTCAGCTTGAAAAAATATCCCCCTCAATCCTGTCCTGTTTCCTTGGCCACTGCCCCTTCCTTCAGTGTTTGCTTATTAAAAAAAGAGGGGGGACACCAAGGGTGGCTTGGTCAGTTAAGCATCCGACTCTTGATTTTGGCTCAGGTCATGATCTCAATAAGGGTTGTGAGATTGCGCCCCGAGTCCGGCATGAGGTGTTCACACTGGGCGTGGAGCCTGCTTAGGATTCTCTCTCTTCCTCTCCCTCTGTCCTCCGCAGCACTCTCAAAACAAAAACAAAAACAAAACACAAACCCCAAAACAAAAAACCTAGGGCATTGTTTTCTTGATTTTAAATCCACAGACCAGTAAAATTTAAAAATACATTTTGGGATCAACTTAAAATAAAAAGACCCAACTGTCTCCTAATATCACTATTATTGCACAGTAGAAAGGATGGTTTAACACAAAGGAAGAAACACATAATTGCAGAAAAGGGCAGTCCTTCCTAAGAAAGAAAAGTTGATAGTTTTATATGACATATTGAAGAAAAAAAAGGATTTCCAGTTAAATGAGGCAGAATAAATGCACATTATCAAGCTCCTCTTCCTCTTGAAACTAAAATTAGAATGAAGTGGGAGGAAGGATATCAATGAGGGATGTCAACATGTTTTTGGAAGATGAGAAGCAAATGTCAAGTGGTTCTGACTTATCAGAGCAGTGGAAGCAGCAAGCCCTGTGTCCATGGAGGGAGCAGGACATGTAGGCCTCACTACCGCAGAAAAAGGCGAGGCTAAAAACGGGAATTGGTTAAAAGCGTGTATTCAACTTTATGCACCAGTAGCTCTCAGCAATCCCAGCACCCAGACACCCTGACCTTTGCTGACAAGACATCTGTAGTTCCTCCACTGTACTGAGAAGCTGACCTGGAAAGGCTGGGAAAGACCACAGTGGTACCTGCTGGGTGGGGAGGTGGGGCGGGGGGGGCCCCTGAAGTGCTGGCCTGCTGTGCTAGCCTCCAGACCCCCAGCTGTGCCCTGCACCACCGACAAGGAGCGCAAGGCTGCAGACAACGGCCGGGGCGGGGGAGGGGCGGGGAGGAGAAAACGAAGGCCCCAGAACCCTAACATCCTCAGAGAAGAGATTTGTGTCATCAAAATGGGATGCTTTTCTTAAAAAGGAATATGCGAAAAACTTTAAAATAAAGAACCTAATAGATGAAATACATTCCAAAGAAAGCAGAAGATAGTCAAGGAAATTTCTCAGTAGGAAAGATTAAAAGATGGAAAGGAGAGAAAATATGAGACCACAGGGCCCAACCTCTGATAAAAGAGAATTCCAGAAACAGTAAAAAAAAAAAAAAGGGTAGGAAGTTATCAGACGCATTGTAAATAAATTTCTAGAGCTGAAAAACAAATTCACATTGAAAAGGCCCATTAGATGCCCAGCAGACAAGATTACGAAAGATCAAGACAATAACACGCATCTTTGCAAAATTTCAGAACACCAGGGATAAGGCAAAGATCCTGAAAGATTCCGGAAAGAAAAAAAAAAAGTCCTACCACAAAGAACTGGGAGTTGGAATATCGTGGGACTTCTCAAAAGCAAGCCTGGAAGCTAGGAGATGAAGGAGCAGATGCCTTTGAGTGTCTGAGAGAAAGTGCTTTCCAGCTAGAACTGTTTCCGGCCCAAGAAATGATACCGCTATCAATTGACTGTGAAGGCAGAAGAAAGGCATCTTCAGACCCGTAAGGGGTGGAAAAGCTGGCCACCCAATGCATGCTTTCTCAGGAAGCTCTGAAGGATGTGCTCCAAAGCAACGAGACAGAAAACTACGCAAGAGGTGGCTGTGGGATCTAGGAGACCAGAGAACCCACTGTGGAGCGCTGTGGGCAGGCTGAGGGGCCCCGGACCAGAGTTCTGCAGCAGGTCTGAGAGCACAGAGAGCGGAGACCGGCCTGACGACCTGGGCACGAGTACTGAGGGGGGTTTTCCGGAAGTGGGGTAGAACCGGTGATTACTACCTAAAACACAGAAGAGAAAAAGCAAGTAGTAACTGTGATAATATACTTGTCTTAGCAGTGACCAGCTTTTATGTAGTTATAATAATATAAACATACAAAGTGGGTTATCAAGAAATTGTAATAATGTCTCAACTCAAGAAATAACGATTTAAGACTTTTAGAGCAGGGAAGATACACACCAGAAAGAACGAGCATGAAATGTTGCCTCTAGGGTATAAAAAAAGGCCTTTTAGTCCTCTTTGACATTTAAGGCCATATTATCACTTTGCTGAAAATAAAAACTAATTTTAAAAAGAGAGTGTTTTATCAGAATATTTTCTAACGCAAAAAGAAACCCCCCCCAACAAAATCCATGTTATTTTACAATGTTAAATTATTATCTGTTTTCTAGAGGAAAGTCTTGCCACTTTGGGGACCCTATCTGATGATACAACATGAAACAGGCTCGATGTTTTGTTTCGTGACAGTCATTTTTGGAAATCCAGGCTCACCCTGCTGTGTGTTGATAGGAATGGAGGGCCCGACCCACCCCCTGCTCACACTTGCCGCGCTGGGCCTGGAAGGAGGCGAGACCAGCCCACACTCCCACACAAAGCTGAGAGGAGAGCAGGCGGAGGGCCCGGCACTGACCCCAGAATGCTGTGGGGTTCAGTTTCCCTCATCTAGACTTTGCATACGGCTCTTAAATGTCTCTAACCAATCCTCTTTCAGTTCACTTCTCCCTGCCACCTGAGAGATCTTTCTAGACCACGTCACTCCTCCATCTCAAACTGTTCAAATTCCATGTTAAAAAGGTTCCCAAAGGGGCACCTGGGTGGCTCAGTCGGTTAAGCATCTGCCCTCACCTCAGGTCATGATCCCGGGGTCCTGGCATCAAGCTCAGCAGGGAGCCTGCTTCTCCCTCTCCCTCTCCCCACTGCTCGTGTTCTCTCTTGCTATCTCTCTCTCTCTCTCTCCCAAATAAAATCTTAAAAAAAAAAGGTTCCCAAAGCCTATAAAAAAACGTTCATGTTTGACATGGTATTCGAGACATCTCGTGCTCTGCCCTGGTCTAGCTCTGCAGTCTCCCCTCCATCCTGCACCACAGGCACTGTGCGCTCGGGGCACCAGCCTGGCTCCTCTCACCTCCCAACACAGCGGTCACACTCCTTCCTCTGGGCCTTTGCTCACATTGTTCACTACTGGGAGTCCCCAAACTCCCTACTCCTTCCCCTTTAAAGACTGGTTCAAAAAAAACATGTATAATGAAAATGAAATTCAAAAAAATATATAATGGAAATGAAATTTAAAAAACCCAAATATAATGGAAATGAAACTAAAACAAAAACAAATGCAAAAAAACGGGTTCCGTTGTCCCTCCTCTTGGAAGCTGGCCCCATCCCAGCCCCAGTCAATATTGACAGTGGCCCAGTGAGCACGGGCACAGGAGTGCATCATCTGGCGTGGCCAGTAAATGTGTGTGGACAGGACTTCCTGTTTGACAGAGGGCGACTTCAGGGCCAGGCGTGGCTCTGGTTCACGTGGTTTCCCACAGTGTGAGGTACAAGACGTGCCAGAAGGGCAACAGGCCAAGGGAGTCTATTAGTGGCCTCAGCAATGTGCAGCTGGGCCCTACCCCCGGGGCTCTAGACTCCAGGCATGGTCTGTCTGAGTATGTGTGAAGACCGTACAACCCCTTCCACCTCCCCACTCTATTCATGATCATCATCGCTTCTGTCCTCTCTTCTGGTCACAAGAGGTGAGGCAAAACTCATGAGGCAACGAAGAATGTCCCCGGCAAAGCCAGGATACCTGTGTCCTCCTGCAAAGAAGCCAAATGTTGGCAAATAGCAGCTAACCTAGAAGCAAAGACCAGTCTCATTTCTTTACTCTCGCTTCTGAGCCTGATGCAGTTCCAAAAGCTCCAAACTGGGGGAACAAGTTGCACCCTTGATAAATACAGGGACCACTGTGAGCAGGGAGACTTCCTCATGGTGAACCACCAGCCTGGGATGGGGGGGGTCACAGGGGTAGGGGTGGGGAGAGACTTAAAGAATTGTCATAGTTATATCTCTGGTTTATGATATGTTTTCGTTTCCTATGACGCAGGTCCACATCCAACACTGTTGTTACAAGTTTTAGTATCATGGAAGATTTGTTCCAGAATAAAATGGAGAAAAGGGCAAATGCAGAGGTATCTATTGGCTGCCATTGCTATAACCAGAACATTCTTCCGAACACAAACTGATCCTGTTGCCTTCTTTTACAATTCTTCAGTGGCCCTCGGGGTATCAGGTCCAAATCCCCTTGCAGGATTTAAACCCTTCTGTCAGCCCCTATCATTCAGTTCAGCCTAGTGACCACGAATCGCCACCCGCTTTACACTCCAGTCAGGTGAATGACCTGACTGAGTCCCCATGACACGCACACAACGGTCAGTTCTGCCTGGGATGATGTGCCGGGACTTGCTCCTTGAATGGGCTCCTGTTCTTCCCTCCACAGTCATAGTTATCGTCAGTCCCTCCTCCTTGGCCTTAGCCCCTCTTCTCCAGAGGTCCTGAGGCCTCTGTACTGGCCTCCATGGAGGCAGTGACCATGTC